AGGATGTTGAACAGAAGCTACTAAAGCTAGACATTTTAAATATTAGCAGGTCCAGATAACTTGAATTCAAGAGTTTTGAAAGAGCTGGCTGAGAAGCTTGCTGGACTGTTACTGTTGATTTATTTTCAATAAATCTTGGAGCACTGGGGAAGTTCTAGGAGACTGGAAGAAAGCTAATGTTGTGCCAATTTTTCAAAAGGTTAAACAGGATGACACGGGCAATTAAAGGCCTGACATTGATCCCTGACAAGATAATGGAGAGGCCAATATGGGATTCACTTAATAAAGACTTAAATTAGGGTAATGTAATTAATGCAAATCAATATGGGTGTATAGAAAATCAAACTAAATTGATATCTTTTTTGATGAGACTGCAAGTTTTATTGATAAAGGTATTAACATTTTTATCAATGACCTGGAAGAAAACATATAACCATCACTAATAAAGATTGCAGATAGCACAATAAAAACAAGGACAGGCCATTCATACAAAATGATCTGGATTGCTTAGTAAATTGGGCGCAAGCAAACAATATGTGTTTTAATATGGCTAAATGTAAATGTATACCTCTAGAAACAAGAATATAGGCCATGCTTACAGGATGGGAGTCTATCCTGGAAAGCAGTTGCTCTGAAAAGGATTTGCGTGGTCTGGTAGATAATCAGCTGAACATGAGCTCCCAGTGTGATGCTGCGGCCAAAAGAGCTAATGCAATCCTGGGATGCACAAACAGGGGAATCACAAATAGGGATAGAGAGGTTATTTTACCTCTATATTTGGGGCACTGGTGGAACCGCTGCCGGAATACTGCGTCCAGTTCTGGCGCCCACAATTCAAGAAGGATGTTGATAAATTGGGGAGGGTTCATAGAAGAATCACAAGAATGATTAAAGGATTAGAAAACGTGCCTTAAAATGATTGAGTTCTTTGAGTCTATCTATTTAGCTGGAGCTGCTGGAGCCTTTTCCCATGGCAGATCTCTTTCCCTATGGTGAGGGAAGGCTCCAGCAGCAAGGAGCTGGTAGATCCTTTCCCGCTGCCTCCCAGCTGCCGGAGTCTTTCCATATAGTGTGGAAAGGTTCCAGCAGCAGGATACTACACTGCTAAAAATAGCAGTGTGGATGGGGAGGCAGAGCTTGGGTGAGTAGAGAGCCATGCAAGGTATGTACTTACACCCATACCCATCAGATGTGTCTTTACTCACTTAAGCCCCATGCTTCACCATTCACACTGCTGTTTATATTCCTGCTAAGGGGGCTATGCAGGTACATACACTACCGGCCACTGAATGAAGCATGCAGTGTAGTCGAGTCTTGTAGCTTAATCACTGTAAAATGAACAGCTCTGGGCTTGAATCATCATGCATCTTTACAATATCAATGACAATGTTTACACATGCAAACTCCCTTGTTGATTTTAGAAGCCATGCAACAGTATCTAGCGTCTGGGACCGTGGAATTGATACTGCTGGATCAGTTGTGTGTGGTGTGTTGAGCACAATAGTTAGACTGACACCAAGGACTTCTGACAATGACATTTTTTGTTAAGTTGAAGCCCCAAATAACTCTAACCCCACAAATACCTTGCTGTAGAGATTTTCATAAAGATGGGGAAAATAACCAACATGCCAATTTCATCCCTATTGTAATTCCATTGACATGAGTGGAATTATACTGGGATGAACTCAGCTCCATATATATATATATTCTGTAGTTTGGTTTAGTTTTGATTTGGTGTTTATCAATAAGATGATTCAGTGCTGTGAAATTAAAACAAATTCTACACAATCTAGAAACCACAGTTATGGGTGTAGTATAAGTATCTGAATAGACTGGAATAGACATGTTATAGCTACCGGGTTCTCATTTACAGATGACATAAGCATATATCTCCTTCATATTGCATTGTGAGTTTGTCCTATTATGTTTTGATGCATGAATTGTACAGTAACAAACATAGCTGAAGAAGGTTTTATAAGCTATTATGTAATCTTCTAAGATATTTAGACTCAGTAAAGCAGCATCAGCATACAAAGGTATAATTTTTTTTAAGCTAAGGTAATATTTTATATTGTGGTTTCTTACCTTAAATATAATATTTGTTATTACAACCACTTTAATATTTAGAATACAAACCATAAATGAGTATCCTATATATGAACATTTTAATGGGGGTGAGGAGTAGCAGAGCTCTAACCATCCAATATAGTGAAATACAGTAAGTAGCTAATTGCCCAGTTCAATATAAATTCTATTTCCTAGAGCCTGGGACATTTGTTTTTTAATATTGCAACTTGGCCGGTGGGAATCCCTTGTGTTAGAAGATAGTAAAGATTGCCTCCTTTCTCATAACTTTTGCACAAGTTTAGTAACAGGGGTTCTAAGGGAGGAAAAGCTTGTGAGAATGGCCTACTACCATGAACAGACAGGGTCCCAGATGAGAATATATTTCTCTCAAACATTGGTGTGGTTCCTGAGTTTCAGTTCTAGCCAATGAATGAACTTCCCTGGCCAAGAAGAGTGTGTAATTCACGGGCACTTGGTGTAGCACTCTGTGCCCCCTCCCCCTCTAGTGATATCTGGGCCACAAATCGAGGTGAGTGAGTCTTCTACACCTTTTCCTAACAGGAGCACAGGGGCTGGAACAATTTTTATTGTGGGGGTGCTGAGAGATATTGAACCAAACTATAAACCCTATTTATAATGGAAACCACTTCAAGCCAGAGTGTGCTACCGCACCCCCAGCACCTCTAGTTTCAACACCTATCAACCAGAGACTCATGTTTTAAGATCATGAGATCCTAGGTACAATCCCCGTTACCAACAACCCACCCAGAAGCCCTGTGTTATAGAGCCATGGGGAATACAGAGTCTATACAGCTACCCTCAGCCTTTGATACTTATTACCACAAGAATTAATGGCTACCTGGTGATGCTACAGTTTGTTTTTTGTAATTCAGTAAAAAGCTGCAGCTGTAGCCTTTAATCCAAGTGAGTCATTTAGTCTTTCTGTATCATCCACAGTATCGTTAGTAAAAAGTGACCCACAAATACTGATATTTATCTCTTTTACGATGCAACATTACTATGCTAGGGCCCGATTAATATCTTTGAGGTATGAGCACCAATGGGAATTGAGGGCATTCAGCACCTTGCAATACTGAGCTCTTAGTAAATAACTTGTGCAATGTTATCTGAGTTTTGCACAAATAACAAACATACTTATGGAGTAAATTCAGTGACATCATAAACATGTATAGGAACAATGAAATACAGTACACAGATTGCAGAACTTTATGAAATGGTATGCAGCAAGCACAAAGTAATCCACACTGAGAAAAATGTGATGATGTCTGAAGCATATAGAAACATAAAATGTATGGGATTTTTGGCTATATGCACAATACAAACCGAGAAAAATATATTAATCTATACCACATCGTTTGAAATAAATTGTAGATCAACTGTATTATTTAGGCTTAGGACAGGCATTTTGAAAATAACATGCTATTTTCACAGTAGTTATACCATCTCTCTCATTACATATCTCTCTATCTCTATAGCCTATCATAGAATCTGGCTAATCTGCACCTTCTTAACTTGGATACTTTGTAATCATCCCCTAAAATTGCCAGTCTTTCATCAGCCATCAATACAGATTTTAATAGTCAATGCTGTAGTTAGATTGCATGTTACTTTGATGCCATTATTTTTACAAAATACAGTATATTTACTAAGTATCAGAGGGGTGTTAGTCTATTTCCGCAATAACAACGAGGAGTCCGGTGGCACCTTAAAGACGATGATTTATTTGGGTTTTTTACCCACGAAAGCTTTTGCCCAAATAAATCTGTTAGTCTTTAAGGTGCCACCGGACTTCTCGTTATTTTTTAGTATATTTACTAGTTTGCTATGCATTTTTGACATAATTAAAACTAAATTGAAGCTGACAAAATACTTTTTGTGAAGTGTGGGTTTTTTTTTTGTTTGTTTTTTAATTCGTCACAAAATTCAGTAATTTACAATGAGGTCACCTAGTCATTCATGCAAATTAGTAAGGATATAGCTACATAGCTAGAAATTGTTCCCCATGATTGTTTTGCAGGTGCAGCATATATGAGAACAATAATTACTTGAGACTAATTGTCACAGTAAAACTGTTCTGTACATTTTCTATTTCCATCAAAATATTCTTCTGCTAAAATAAACACAAGCACCCTTCTCCCTCCCTACTCCCAGTTCCTCCACCCACCCACACACAAAGCTATTTAAAAGTTTTGGGGGAAGATTGTGTTATCATTCCTTATGTTGCTAGTAGTTTAGTCCATAAAGATTCCCATTGAAGTTAGTTGGTCTAACTCCTGGAACAAGTTGCCAGTAAGGGAATCAGAATCTGGTTCTAAATGTATAGATATAAGATATTATGGGTCTGGTTCTATCATTTCTTTGGAGCTAAGCTAGTATAATGGAATGGGGAATCCCACGCTATGGGCCCTATTGAAGTTAATTGGAGTTTTCCCACTGACTTCAGCAGATCCAGGATTTCACCTTATATCTATAGAATTACTACTTGAAAAGCATTCATGTTCACATCTGGTTCTTAAGTTTATTACTATTTTTTAAAGAGCACATTTAAGAATTTATAAAGTAGAGATACGAAGTGACACTCAAAGCCAAATGGAGTTTTAAGAGAGAGATTGGAAAGAGCTAAGACACAGGTCCTCTGAAGGATATTGTGTTTTGCCTCCTTTCCCTTCCATTCCTGTAACAGGTTCTTGAATATCTCTAAATACTGCTATGTTAATTCAGAAACGCTCACTGAAAGAGAACCAGAATTAATCAGCTTCCTCACTAGAGGAAGAGGGTAGCTTTAAATTTAATCTTAATAAGTACACCTCCTCAAGTGTAAAGTCAATGTTTTGTTTAATTTGATTGCTTGCTTCTTCCTGCTGCTTCTGACTTATGTCCTGTTTCTCTTCTCTTTATATTTTTGTCAACAGAAAGCTGACCTTGCAGTTGCACCACTGGCTATTACCTATGTTCGAGAGAAGGTCATCGACTTTTCCAAGCCCTTTATGACTCTCGGAATAAGTATTTTGTACCGCAAGCCCAATGGTACAAACCCGGGCGTCTTCTCCTTCCTGAATCCTCTCTCCCCTGATATCTGGATGTATATTCTGCTGGCTTACTTGGGTGTCAGTTGTGTGCTCTTTGTCATAGCCAGGTAACATCATAACTTTTGTGATTTTTTTGGCAATTATTATCTTCTTTTTCTTACTAATAATTGTCAAAAGTCACAATTTTTTTATTACTTTCTTACTCTTATTTTTCACTGTATGGTGTATAGTGGAATAATTAATTAGGGTTCTCAGTGTTGATTAGAATGTAGTACACTGCCGTGCTAAGCCTCCAGCATGCTGTTTATGTCACTAAGCTACCAGAATGCCATTCCCCTTTTATTTCCAAACTGAAAAACATTAACAAGCCCTGTGAAATTTTTTTCTTCACTCCCATGTGTTTCTTTTCAGATAGAAAATGATGATTGTATTGTGTTGGCCTAATATGATGTGGCATTGAAGGGAAATACCCCAAGTTAAGCACTTAACTGCCCAGAGCAAGATCTGTCCCTAGATGTTCAAATTGAGCTCATAATACCTTTTAAATATAAAAATTGTTAGCTCACTCAAAGTTCCTTGGCTTTTCGGGAGTAAAACAGCTGAATAATGTATTTAAAATCTTGTAGCAGATAAATGCACTGAGATAAAACATCTAATTTAAAAAGCCAGTCTGGGATGTATGTGGAGTCATGCTTAGCTGGGCTTGTTAGGGTCAAGGGCCTCAAAGCTGCAATTATGAAATCATAAAGCAATCCAATACGTATTGCTTTCTTGCTCTTTAATTGCGTTATTGCCCATTTTCTTCAATACAGTGTTTCTCTTCTGTTAATCTTACAGGCACTGATAACAGCTCTGGGAGATGGGCAGACACAGTGACACTGCCTTGCCATTTTTTCCCCATGGGCACCCCATAACTCATATAGGAATTTTTTTACTATTGTATTTTACCTTTTCATTGTAAAGTAATTGGAATTGACCCCAAATGCTTGCAGAACTGTAACCTTGCACTCACTGTGTAACTTTGACTCATGCTGTGACTGCAAAAAATTGCAAAGCATTAGAAAAAACAGTATATCCCACTTTCGTTGGATTGTTGCTGTAACATCACTTGCACCCTTTCACGTTATTGGCAGTCATTTTTAAATCACTTAATGAATTAAAACAGTTTAAAATAGATGACTTTTTAACATCTGATTGCCTAAGTTCATCTTATAATACACTTTTTTCTACAATATCAATTTTTAGAAGCATCCTTGTGTCTTGATAACAAAATTCCCTCAGCCTCAATTTTTTTGTGATGTTATTCTCCTGTGTATAGTGAGGTCTCTCTACCCTTTTTCCTTATGCTGGAGTTGATGTAAGGGTTCCACATCTTCCTTTGATACTATTTCTTTCCTTTGATAGAGGTTGTATCATTCCTCTGGCAGATGGAAAGGCAGTAATCCTTGAAGCTACTTACACTTCCAACTCATAAGTAATTCAGCAAGGGCACCCGGGCATAAAGTTGTATAGATAACACTCTGAAACACATGCTGCATGTTGTAGTGAAATACTTCACTTGTGTGCCTTCATTCAAGGACTGTTTTAAAGAGCCAAGGACTTACATTGGAAGTTTCTTGAAAATAGAGTAGACTTCCGTGGATTTTTGATCAAGACCATATCTCTATTTCAGAGGAGATCCGATAACAAAGATACTTCTGAAAGCACTGAATTCTATAGTTTAGCAAAAATGCACAAATGGTTTATTGTGGAACACATGCTGCATGTATTTACATGTATTTCCAAAAATAACCCAAACTTTACATTATAAGGAAATTTTTGAGCATGGTGCACAGCCTAAACCCCACTCTGAAAATATTTCCTGCTATATATTGTGGGAGACTTTTTCTGATCCTACAGACTATTTGTTCAATTTTTTAGTAAACTTTTTTTTTTATTATAGTATTCAGTATACACCTCATATCACTCACTGAGCTGGGAGGAATGTTTATCATCAAGCAGACGCACCAAATAGTAAAGGGTTATTGCTGAACTTTTTTTTCACTTGGTTGTTTTGTTGTTTGGTTCTATAAAATCCTGGTGTACTCAGAAGCATATCTTTCTCATAAAGCAATACAGAAATATAGACTAGAGGATTGTGTACAGTGAGCAAGTTGTGTAAAATCTGTTTTATTTCAAAGTTTACATCAGTCTTCAGAGCTACAGATAAAATTTCAGTATTTGTTAACTTGTACAATGAAATGTTGATAGTGTATGTAGAAATCCAAGAAGTAGAATTAGAAAGGATCATGTTTTTTCTCAAAGTAGAAAACTTTATTTTAAAAATATGTATGTGCTAGGATTCCCAATCCAATAATTATAGTGCCTTTATATAGTGAAACAGAGTTAACTTAAATGATGACCTATGGAAGAATACTAAAGATTGTAAAATACAGACTGCACAGAAGTAAAACAGCCTGTTTGTGAAAGTAATAATCTACCTGTTGTCATTATAGGGCCAGATATTATAACTGTATCGTAGTGGACTGGGATATTTCAGCATGCACTACTAAATGTGCAGTTTCACTGCAACATATAATGTAGGTGATGCACTGTGTAATGTATGGAATTCAGAAAGTTTTGTACTGTATGCATTCCAGTCATGATAGATCATGGAACTTGAAGGCTGTATGTCCTTAAATTGATAGGTTCCTTTTAGATTCCCCTCTTAAAAAAAGATGTGATGTTGTAGCAACCCACCATAATGAATATTGAACTGCCAGTGTTTCATAATAAGGTATATCTATGTTTGAAGCAGTATAGTACCTGGTATATCTTTTATAGTGAAACATATGTTTTGCAATTACAGCTCATCAGACTATTCATTGGAATTATTTTGGGGGAAGTTCAGAGATCGTCTAGATTACCACAATGGTCCTTTCTGGCCTTGGAATTTATGAATGCGAACCATTTATTTGTCAGATTTGGCCTTTTTTCATTTGTGAATTGTTTAATGAACACAGCAAGATTTTATGAATGTGTTCATTATTCATAAATGTCCTAATAGGTTTAATATAACAATATTAGGTCCTATAAGCTTTTGTGCACTGTGCCCCCTTGAATTACTTTATTGGAATTCACTATCTAAATGAGTCACTTAGACCACATGCAATGGATTGAGTTCACTGATTGGATGGCCTAGTTTTATAAACAGGAGGAATCCAAGGAAGTCATTGCGGGGGTTGAGTAAAGGGAGAGAGTAAAGGGAGAGCATTTTAGTGAAAGCAACATAGTAGCAGATAAACAGGCCTAAAAATTTTACATCTTTGCCTATCCTCTTTTTCACAAGGAAGAGCACTATATTTTGCTGCATAGGTAGAATCCAAATGTAAAGAACTAGGTTATTTACTCCCAGAGTCCACAAGAGATCAACCAGATTTACTGGCTATCTAGAAGACTTTTTGCTCTCAATTTTCTCTTATCATAATTACACCAAGTAATTGGGTATGTGGGCATGCAGGTGTTGTGTTGCATTCTGAATGGAAGGTTAGGTTGGGAAGAATATACAGGCACATCAACACTCATCTTGAAAGCTGACCAGAACTGTTTTCTATTGGGACTGGAAATCACTTTACAGTAACTTGTCCTAGTATTCCTTAACTTTTCATAGCAGGATTTTCCTTCTCATACTCTTTGAAGCCTGCTTCCCACCTCCACTTTGCTTTGGGTTTCTCTGTCTGTCCAACTGTTTAACCAAGAAAGGGGGAGGGGAACCGTACTTACTTTTGAAGGACTGAGCCATCTCCCCCATGCCTTTACTAGCTCCTGCATCTCAATCCATCTCATACAGAAGTGTGGTACTGCTAACCTGCCAGATGAAAACCACAATGAGCAACTCTTCCAAATGGTCCCCAGTTTGAAACTCTACCCTCCATTTTTAACTTTTGTTTTGAATAAAACACCCACTTTGACATTGTTGTAAATGTACTTCAAGGACACTGGAGCTATTATACTTCTGTGAACTGGAAGCCCACCTGGCAATTCTGCCCTCTGGTGGCAATTGTAATAGATTTGTAACTTATCTAGCTATGGGTGTCTTCATTTGGCACAGCTGACAGCCCATTGCATTCTACTCCTATTATCTTCTCTTCTTTGCCAATATGCTTGTGGTTTACCTTTGTGGGTTCTCAATAGAAAGGTGATCAGTATGAATTGGAAGTTGCAAAGAAAGTTACTTTACTTATATCCACTCCCCTTTGGAGTTTCACTATGTACACAAACCCTATCCTCATCGACAGAATAAATTGTGTCTTCTCAATATGATTAGTGATTCTCTAGATAGTGTCCTGGAAAGATATCTGTCTCTTGGGTACAAAACTGTTCAGAGCTTTCCATTTCTAATAAGTTTTCTTTCCTGCTGCTGACTTCTTATTGTTTTCCACTGCAATCTCATAAGCTCTCTTCATCCATTCTTCCTATTAGTCTTTGAAGATGAAATAGTTGTTGCCCTCTTTGTTCTCTATGAAATCTTAAAAGTTATCTGGGTAACCCTGGAGATTGCCAATACTGCAAGAAATATGAAGAATAACCAGTTTCATGCTTGGAGCTGTTATAAACATGTATTAATTTATTTAAATAGTTCTTCCAATTTGTTTTTTTTCCCTTCAGTTTATGTTGGTGACATTGTTAATAGTGTTCTGTTGAATTGTTTAGCTAGGTTTCATTCCACAGGGTAAGCTGTGACATGGGAGTTTTATAGCCCACAACAAGCACAAAGTCTCTCAAATAATTGATTTTCAAATTCCATAACCTGGTCCTAATTCATCTCTTCAGGAAATCCAAAGTGAAGGCTAAAATCTCTGAATATTTTATCAGCGGCTTTTGTGCTTGATTTATTGGTTGTTGGGAAGGTCTTTGCAAATTTAGTGAAATGCCTTATTATCACTAATATGTTTTCAAAGCATCACATGTTAAGTTCTACTCATAGATGGTTATGGGTACAGGGCTAGCGGCAACTGTGACTCCTTCTCTGGCCACTCTGAGTTCAGACCAATCAGGCCTTGTGCCATTACTTCCCTAGGGTAGAATCACACCATTGTCCCATTCCTAGACAGAGACATGGGCTCTTGTACACTGTAAATCAACTGTGCTTACCCTACATATCACTGGTTTTGGTATTTGCTCTTCTTCCCTTTGGGAGCTTGTGACCAGTGGTTAATAATAGGAAGAAAGCATAACAAAGAAGAAAAAGGGATTTAAAACAATGAAATTTCTACATGTCTATCTTACTAAGCCCTTCTGCCCTTAGGGAGCTTAGGAAGACCTAGCTTCTTCAGAGGCCCTGTCAGGGGTCTGTCCCTCCGAACAGTTTCCTGACAACTATCTCTCCCCAATGAGAGAGAGAGAAGAAAAAAAAATCCATTTAAATCTCAGAGACTTCTTTCTTCCTGGGTCTTTTGGCCATGTGAGTCCAAAACCAGTGTGGTGAGCTTCACAGGAGAGTTGAGTCAATCTCCTCCAGCCAATTGTCCTCCCATAGTCTTGTAAAACAGTCCATTAAGAGTTGGTTGAGAGATGTCTTATACTGAGTCCTTGTCTTGTTTCCTGCTTGTTTTTTCCAGCAGGCTGCTATTAAGCTAAACTGGTGCAGTCATGCAGTGAATATCCCAATAACCACATCACATACTGTGCTCATACCTTATTACAGATCAGCTGCATGTCCTTTACATAGGATTCCTTTGCATTCCTTCAATGCAAATAAGATGGAAGAGCAGTGGTGGTGGTAAATTGCTGTGAGGGGCCTTTTTTTTCTGAATGTTAGGTCTTTTATAATTAACACCCTGAAAAAAAGCAATGCTTCTATAAACTGTGTCTGTTCAAGGCCAGTAGAATCTCTCTAGAGAAATTTTTTTAATCTAAAGTGGTAAAATAATGGCTTATGTAGTTCAGATAACACAAATAGTTTCCTGGGTGCTACCTATCTAAAAAGGAGTTCCTTCTTATTTTCTCATTCTCTTATCAGGAGTCTTGCCATCTCTGCTTTACTGATCTGTTGATTTTTGCCCTTGACCTTGGGGTGGGGTTCTTAACCTGTTTCTTTTAAGCTGCTCTTGGCTAATCGGAGATTAATAATAATATGGTGGAGTGAGAGATATTGGCCCTTCCAGTCCCTTACAGTGTCTTGTATATCAGACACAAGGATGTAATCTCACGAGTCCTCAGGGGTTCACTGCACCATATATTCCTCCATATTCAGGGGTGTCTAGGAAAGGAAACTGCATCACTATAGGCCTGGAAATGCCTATCTCTGATAACAAAACTAGCAGATTTCAATTATGTTATCTTATAGCATTTAGGTTTGCTGCTGCTATGACAAGTGTGAGGACTCCAACCCCTCCCCCCCCCACACACACTATAAATAGTGGCATATAATACAAAAGGCACTGATCCAGCAATGTACTTAATCATGTGCTTGAAGATAAAAACACATGAGTAGTCCCATTGACTTTACTCAGACTACTCACATTTCTCTAGATAATCCAGTAACAGCGATTTCAAAGACAGGATTTTAACTTGAAATCTAGCAGTAGTTTTTGACTGAGGCTATTGCTTACAGTTTATCCTCTTCCCAAGGATACCATATTGCTCCTAGCCCTTCATTTGAAGCCTCAATGTTCAAAAGAAATGATTGTTGAGACTGAGGAGAGACTGGCAGGAGAGATAGGAGTTGAGAAACCATTCACCAGCCTCCAAAACATTTTGGTGGTTGGGGGTTCGCTTTTAAATGGACTTTCTGAGCAGGAATTAAGTGGCAAGAGTTATTTTCCTTCTCTTCTGTCTCTTTTCCCGCTCACTAGTTCTTCTTATGGGCTCATATAAAGTATTAGCAATATGAACAAAAAAATCTCGTTATCCTATGAAAAAGTGTTCCAGAAAGTCCATTAGCATTTGTACATTTTAGAGTGTTTTGGTTTCTCTTGCTTCAAACTTTGAATGGCTATCAGTTTGTGAAAGTTTCACACTTTGATTTTGGTTACTTTAAAAGAGAATTACCATATATATGAGATCAATGTAAAAAGGTCATACTTACCAGTTTTTATTATACATCACTGATTTGCAATTTCTTAAGCAGTTTCCTTACATGTTGGACAAACATTTGCTATTCACCATGATGTCATGTAAAACTGGGATCTGTGTATCATTCCAGAGATCCATCAAACACTCATCTGTGCAATGTTGGAAAGCTGCTGGTACATTTGTCAACCTCAAAAGACAAGCTGTGTGCAGTCCCCTATGGTGTTACAAGTGTGGTCAGCTTCTGGGAATCATCATTCATGAAAGCTAAGGGATAGGATTTAACTAGATCAAGTACAGTAAAACATTCTCTTCACTCTAAGTCACCCAGTATTTTTTTGAAATCTGGGTAGCATGTGTCTGTCTACTAGTAGTTTTCTCTAATCAGTATAAAGATTCAATATCCCATCCTTTTAGCCAAACCAGAAAGGATACTGGGAACAACAGGGGTTTCACTTGTTCCTCAATTATATGGACAGAGGACAATAGTGTCAAGATGGCTCCCAGATACCTGGAAAGATTTTAA